TTAAGACCCTCTGTAGACTTAAGCAACAACTAAAGGTTATCCACTAAACCTTTGCTGAAGTTAGAGTTTGGGGGCATTTTCACACCAGTAAATAAAAGTCAGGGCTCAAGGTCAGATTATGAGACCAGAGTTTAGATTGTCACTTGGGAGATAATACAAGACTGTGGCGAGATCAAACCGTTTTGGGAAATCACAAGCTGGATATTTATCACGGAACAGAGAAAATATCTGAAAAAAAAAAGGACAAAAAGTCAGTGTCAGAGGAACGGACCTCTGACGTCAGTGCCAGTGTTTTGTGCTCGGCTCATCATGTGACTCTTACTCAGTTTACTTCAGTGTGGAGCGCACAAAGCCCGACGCGTGTGGAAAAGAGGCTGACAATGAAACAAAGCTCACGTTCAGCACCGTGTCTGACCATGACACTTCACTTTAATGCGCAACGAGCTCTGAAGGTTAGTGTGACATTTCTGCACACGTCCCTCCGTTAACAGATAACAAGTCCTCCTCGCCCCTTTCATTTGTGTTGATAGTTCAGGAATGCTTTCATGCATGTGGAATAATGTTTGTTCAGCAGGTGAGGCTGCCTGTTGTTTGTTTGATCCAACTTTTCAGGCTTTTCATCTCAAGAATGTCAAGCAGGAGTTCTCAAAACAAAACAGCTTGCTCCATCTGCTCCCGTTTTTCTCCACCCAAAACCTGTGGTGACTATTTTACAAGCAAACCCGACGTTCTTGCAAAGATAAAGAAATAAACGAGCTTATGCGGGGTGTATATGAAGCCTCTCGGCAGCTAACGTGGTCAGCTTCTTCCCCCTTGTGGTGGGTTTGGGTATTGCAAAAGCATGAGGCTCTAAGAGGAACTTAATCATCTGGTTTCATTGTGATTATAAGTAGACTGCTAAAATGCTTCAGTATAAAATCACTTTAGATGCAGGCCACTTTAGCACAAAGGAAGTTCAAAGCATTACAAAGTATTTAAATGCAGATTTTAACATGGATAAAACTGAGTGAGAACTTGAGTGGATTTATGCAAATCCCAGTATATACATGAAAATGACCAGAGTGCGACCAGCTGCCTCACTGGAGCATGATGTCCTTCTCAGTATTGTTTTCCAGGCTTCCTGCAATCAATCCCCTGCTTGAGTCACTCTGACTCACTGTCTACATTTGCCGTGTCCTGTTCACCTCACGGAGCTTAAGAGGTTTATTTATCACGGTCAGCTGTAGAATGAAACCACCTTGTTCACTCTTAGTAATCAAAGCAAATTTACTAGAATGGCAAAAAGATTTTTGATGCTTGATGCCGAGCTGTTTGCAGTGAATTGCCACCTGTTGAAATAATAACATAACAGAGCATGAACAGGAAATTTACAAGGAACAGTTTAGGCCTGAAAAATGATCTGTGTAAAAACGGGAAACACCAAGAAAAGGCTTTTTGGTTTGTCTGTTTTTTAGGATGGATGAAGGGGTTAGCATCGTTAGGCCCCGGATTTGAATCTGAGTGAAGTTTACATATTTTCCCCATGTCTGTGCGGGTTCAAACTGGACTTCCTCCCACAGTTCAAAAGCATGTCGGTTAAGTTAGCTGTTGATTCCAAATAGACTATGAGTGTGAATGGTTGTGTTTCTTGGCCCTGAAATGGACTGGCAACCTGTCAAGGGTATAACCTACTTCTGGCCCTATGACAGCTAAAATAAAGACTAACAAACAACCCTCTGCATTTGATGTTTTTCACTGTTTTTTCACTGTTTCACTTTACCAAAGAGCTTCCTTATATTATTGTGACCAGTAGCAGCACAGTAAACAAGAGTAGCCCACATATTTAGGGCATATATTTAAAACAACAACAATATAATTTGTGTAGCACTTTAAAAAAACACTCAGTTACAAAGTGCTTCACAGTTTAGATAAAACAACACATTAAAATAAGCCTGCAAAGCTCTCATTAGGACCTCATAGCTACCAGCACAGTACCAGTCTTCATGCTAAAATAAGCATGATGAATGAATTGTGCAAAATGTGGAATGGTTTCTTTTTAAATGCACATCCTGACTGGTTTTGATGGAATCTTTCTGATCATTTAGTGCAAAACATGCTCGGGCAGTCACGGAAACCCATTCAAGAGCCTATTTTCCCAGAAAAACACCACGCTGTCCCACTGAAGCAATTTTCACCCGCCTGGTAATTGTTTGCGACTAGGTGCAAATGCAGACAGTGTGAGTCTAACCAGTTTGCTACCCAGAAGTGAGATGCGTCAGATCACACATCAAATCTGCCAAACCGTCCAAATGAACTCCGTGCCGGTGATGCACTGTCCGAGCCCTGCCGCCGCTCACTCTGAGTTTAACATGGGGCGGATGGAGGGAATCACTTTAGAGGATTAAAACTGTCATCTGGTTGGATTACAGCGAGAGCTTACCTGCCCATCTGTCACCTTCAAACTGTGGCAGAGAGACTACCTTTGGATAGTGGAGGCCTCAATCCAGCCAGACAGACTGAAACCATGACACAATTGTGTTGGATGTTTGGAAGTATTCAGTGCCTTCATCCTGTGTTATATTACATCTTCTATTTGTAAAGAAGTGCCCGAAAACTCAGTGCATGTGCAGCTTTTGATTGAAAACCCACCTTAGATTCATGTTTTAATAAAAACTCAAGGGAAATTAGGCAGTATAGAGACTTTGACTGATCAATATCACTTAATCATGAGCTGTAGGTGACACAGGATCTTTAGGTTGTAGTTTACTATTATTAAACAGATTAGACCATGTACAAAAAGAAAATGGTCAGAGTGCCCACTTGACTTAAGAGCTACATTAAAAACACTTTTAGGTAATTGGAAACTCTTAATTGCTCATAGTTGTGAATGTGAGTGCGAATGGCTGTCTGTGTCTATGTGTTAACCCTGCGACAGACTGGCGACCTGTCCAGGGTGTACCCCGCCTTTCGCCCTATGACAGCTGGGATAGGCTCCAGCGCCCCCTGCGACCCTGAAAAGGATAAGTGGAAGCGAATGGATGGATGGATTAATAGTTTTTGTTTCCTGTAATAATCTGATCTATTACCCCTATTTCTAGTGCACCTACCTTTAAGTATTTGCAGATAAATATAATTGCATTGTAATTTCAAATATAATACCCTGATATTCAATTTAATTACAGGAGAATTAAGTGACAGGCTGTATTATAAAGTGTTACCGACAATTATTGTTCATCATTCCAGTAAAGGAGCCGTATACTTTCTAAAAGTGTAGAGTCTATGCACTTTAACCATAGTTTTGCTTGGTGTAATAATCTGTCCTGTTTAAAAAAATCACTTTGTAACTTATTTACAGAAAAATACTTCCTCTTCATTTTACAGCGCCTTCGTAAAAACGCTACAGAAACACAAGGAAGTGCTGCAGCATGTCATACTTCTTTCATATGATGTGTGTGCTGACTGCAGACAGACTTGAATTATGTGAACTCTTGTTCTCCTTGTTCGCACTGTCTTTATCTCTCTTCCAGGAAACAGGTGAGTGGAGCTGACCTGGTTAGAGATGCACCACACCCGATCAGGCAGGGCTGAGGAGACTGTGGCTGAGTTCCAATCCAGACAATGCACCCTCCCCCTACACACTTTCACTCTATCTGCACGGAGGATAAATGTCTTCAGCTGCCTGGGCGACTGAAAAAGCTCTTTGTGTTTTATATTCATACTCTTAACGCAGTGACTGCATACTTATTCACATGACAGATTTACTTTCTTAATTTAACACTGTGTCATTATATAGATTGTTACATACTTTTGGGGCACATTGTGGCATGCATATAAGAAAGAACAGTTTCGTGAGTTTTGAGCCTTCTTTCTGAGCTCAGCTCATGTTAAAATGCTCAGTTTTCTACAAAAAACAAAAACAGTTTCTGAAATCTCCTGGTGAAATTGTACTAAGTCTTATTATTGGATGACTGGTGGATGCCGATACAAGTGGCTGTAGCTACTAGCTCTCTGCTTTGCTTCACTTCTGCTAACTGGAGTAACTGGGTTGTGCTTTTGATTCCTTTTGGAGTATTTATAATGCCTTTATCTTACAAATAATACCGTTTTCTATGCCATATTGTTTGCCATATAATTATACTGACTGACTGTGTGTAAAATTCTAGGATTTTATTTGGATCTTGCTCATTAGCAGGCCCCTGGGACTGTGTAATGCACCCATATGGTCTTTGGGTGCAGCTTGCTAAACCATCTCATCTTTATCTTTAAGCCTCATGGCATGATGGGAAATGCTATCCCTTGATACGATATTAGCTTAAGCTGTGATTTATTGTTAACAGTCTCTCTATAATCTGTGTTCTGCCTGAAGCCTGTTCAAAGGGAGTTCTTCCTCCCCACCATTGCCAAGTGTTGCCCACAGGATTCTTATGAATACATTTTGAGTTTTCATGGCTGGCATCACTACAGCAGCTGTATAGTGGTTAGCACTACCAACTCGAGGGCCCTTTCTGTGTGCAGCCTGTACGTTATCCTTGTGCCTGCATGTTTCCTCCAGATGCTCTCGTGTCCTCCCATAGTTCAAAGACATCCATGCTGGGCTAACTGATGATCCTGGATATGAGATAGATAAAGTGTATACAATGACAGGTAAGTAAATGGGAAATGTTAACTACATAATCTTTGGATTTTTTGATTTTTGACTTCCTCAATAGTTCCTCAACATGATTACAATTTTTTTTTTACATTTAGCCAGGCACTTAGGACACAACACTTTCTAAATTCAATCCCCTGTTTCTGTTGTAATAGCAAGAAATAATAGATGTAGTAATGCATGTATTCACAGTGAGTATTGTTTACGCCAACTTACTGTCATGTCACTGTGAAAAAAGAGTACTTTTCAGACCTGCTTGAATTGTTTGCTGCAATATTTTTATGAACCATAAATATTGTGACACATTTAGAGCTTTTATTTTATTTCTTTTTATATTGGTGTCACCATGTTATCATTAGAAGATGCAGCAGTGAATATAAATGTTTCTCTTGTTTTACTTAGTGAGCATTCTCAGTAATGGATTCTTCTGCAGTGACTAAACAGAGGTCGCGGTTCATCCAGCATTTTATTTAGCGGTGTATCGCTAAAGAGGAGGATGGTGTTGTGCTGTAATGGAAGGGTGATGAGGATTTTAAGGTTGGAGTGAGAATGCACAGAAGGAAACTGTCAGAGGTTAGCTGCTGTTGCTGTTGCTGCTGCTGCTGCTGCTGCTACTCACACCTACACACAGAATAAGCCAACAAACCTTGATTTCCTCCTACACAACAACTGCACATTAAGTCTGGACTCTATCCTGTGCATCACACACACTGACAAACATTTCCTCCTGTAATTAGCACATTTCCTCCCCTCCAAAAATTCAGGACCATCCACTGTAACCCAGTGACTCCCATTATCTGTGGGAAGTTAATTTGTTCATTTACACAGGATGACCTCCCGCATGTGTTGTCCGTGCACCGCCGAGCTCCCACGCCACTAACACTGTCCTCCGAACAACATTCTTTGATTTGTCTTCCTCTTTCCTTCTCGCTGCTCAACCCACTCTGTCCTGTTTATCTGCCTCTTCATCGCTCTCAGGCTCCCTTTTCAGCTGATGGAGCTTATTGTGGACAAATAGGCTTACAAGTGTCTCTATGGCAACGGCGGATCGTAAAGAGCTACATAAGCACTTCATCAGGGGCCATGATCCAACGGCTCCCATTGGAGATGGTGCCCCCAACCTCCTGCAACAAGTAAAGGCAGGCCAGAGAGGCTCCTGGGAGGAGGAGGGGAGAGCGAGAGGTGGCGATAATGCTGAGAGAGGATGGAAGAGGAGGCGAGAGAAAAACCATTTCTCCTCTCTCTTCTCTCTGCGTTTCATTCAGCCAGTCTCTTCGACATCCACCCAGCTCTTCTGCTTTCTGAGGACTTTTACTGTCCGGCTCTACGGTGATTTTATATCTTGTGGAGACCAAAGAAAACTTCAGAAACAAGGAAGAGGTAAGGCATTCTTTGAAGCAACAAGCTGGTTCAAAATAAAGGCTGAAAAAACTGACTTCAAGAAAGCATGTATTTTTTTTCTGGTATTCACGCCACTTATAAATAAGAAATCACTCAGATTTGGAGTCCTGAAAGAGAGCAGCAGACCAGTCTCCAATTCAGGGCTGAAAGGAGTGGTCAGTTTAAATGGTTGCTATTGACAGAGAAATTAATTGACAATGGCTGGAAATCCAGTGATCTTTTAGGTCATTTATTAACAAATATTACAAAAACAACCTGAGATTACAGGTCTTTCAATGCTTGGTTATTTTGTGGTTTTAGTTTATGTCATTTCTCTTTAAAAGACTCACCTATTTTTATTTTTATTTTTTCTGACTTTACTTCCTAGCAAGTTTAATATTTTGGACTTCTGATTAAAAAGAAGATGCTATCAGATTGTTTTGTGTTCAGATTACTTGATAGATTGAAAAATGCAGCCTTTATCCTTCCTGATGTAAAACATACTGATGCAGTGACTATTTTACTTGCTCCATTTTTAGGGGTTAAAGTGCTGGACACTTGGGGTCGAGGTATGGCTGTAATCTCACTCCATCGCTCTGTTGTGAAACCTTTTCTCAGCGCATGTTTTATTGTAGCCACAGCACCTGGAGGCGCATGTACAACTGATGTGGCCCAGAAGATACCTCCAGCATGTAAATAGATTAACCTACCATAAAAACACTGTGGTCAAGCATTAAAGGGGCTGGTCATGCTGAAAACAACAGCTATACTAGAAAAACCACTAAAAATGGGACTTAGATTTGTAAGCTTTAAAGCTGTGAATCGGAAACAGTGTTTTTCATTTAGAAAAAAAAGGTGCCAAAGTCCCATCATGTAAAATCAATGCTTTAAAATCCTGAATAATGACTCACGACACATGAATCAGTGGCCTGCACAGCTGTGCTTTTTAATACAAGCTAACAAAAGGCCCACTATTGATGGGCTTGAATAGAGATCCTTTGGAGCGGATATGACACCTGCAGAACAAAGAGCCGACGCAGCATGGTGGATGTTGTCTTTTTGAAAAATATGCAGATATCGAACACACTTCAGAGGATGCTTTGTTTTACAAAATGAATGTTCATTAAAACTCGTTGCAGGTCAACTCTGTGCTGTCTGTTATGTTTTATTGGTACCATTTTCAAACATCCACAGATTCTAATTAAACATTTCAAGCGTGTCTCTTTCTAAACACATTATTTATTTATTTATTTATCACTCGATTGAGAATAAGAATGTTATTTCCATCTGCTATAATTCAAGTTTGGCAGTGTGGCTCTGGGACAGCAGAAGCGAAAATGTTCACAGAGCAGAGCAGGCAACAGAGGTGGGTTGCAAAGTGGCTTGCAGATGTCCAGGAACTGGCAGGTTAATGCAGATTAAATAGCGCAACCTGTATTGCCAATTGGATGCATAAAAGAGCGTCAGCTGAGTCGTCAGCTGATGTGGGCTCAGTTCAGCTAATCTGGGATTAGGCTGATTTTGACTTTGTTGCCTGTTTGAATGAATGCTCTGTTCTCACAGACACAGCCTTTCAGAAATAAACTTGAAGTCTGGTTGTCATTTCCCCTCATCAGTGAACAGTGAAGGATGGCCATGGCCTCCTGGTTCAGCTGGAACGAGCCGTATTACCGGACTCCCCGCCGGGACCCGGCCGACGTGGTCACCGACACCCTGATGCTCGAGTTCAGCTGGCAGCTGAAGGAGTCTGAGAAGCAGCAGCGAGAGAGGGAGAACGAGTACCGACGCACAAAGACTGGGGTCGACTACAGCTGGCTAGCCAGCACGCCCCGGTCCACCTACAACATCAGTACAGGCGAGAGGCTTGGCCTGGAGGACCTCTGTGCCAAGGTGCCCCCATCCTGTTGTGGGCTGGTCATACTCAAGTAAGGTGATAGTGAGTAGGCGTGAGATGAAAATCACTATAGCAGTTTAGCAGCATACCATATTGTTTCCTTGTCGCCAAAAATCTACTTTAATTTTGTTAAATGTGAAGACAGTTTGACTTCAGAGCTACTATCTCATGACTACTTATGAAATGAATGAGGATAGCTACAAGTTAGCTTCTATTCTCTAAGAAGAAGAAGAAGAAAAAAAGAACTCAGAGATTAAATTTATTGACACATTATTTAACACTGGATAATAATGACAGCACAATCACATACATTCACACAGTGCAATGAATAAATAAAGCTATTTAGCTAGCAAGCATGCTAACCTTAGCTTTATTTATTAGAAAAAGATTTGTGCTTCGAGTTGAAAGATAAGATCACCAATGTTGTAAGAATGTATTTAAATATATAATTGTATTTATTTTTTGTAACAATACCCATAACCAACATGGCAATGCTAACAAGCCAATGTGGTACAAAGTTTACTGCTATTTTGGTTTTGTGTGTTAGCACAGCGGTCTTCAACCTTTTTTGCACCACGGACCAGTTTATGTCCGACAATATTTTCACGGACTGGCCTGTAAGGTGCTGCGGATAAATAACAAAATAAAACCAGAACCGGTACCAAAAAAAGAAGATTTATTCATAACAGACAGTGGGGGAACAGCAACGATAAAAACCGATAAAACCCTAAAAAACATAAATTTCACACCCGAGCCTCAACTCTCTGCCGGTACCAAACGACTCACATGGCCCGGGGGGTTGGGGACTGCTGTGTTAGCATGCTTCCTAAGTACTAGAGGCTAAGTTGGATCTGGCCTTTTTTTTAATTTTTCCCGCTCAGGTATTTATAGACACACCCACTGGACACTTCATGCATTTAGAAAGGTAGACATGTTCAAGACAACCTGCTGAAGTTCAAATTGAGCATCAGAGTGGAGATATTTAAACTGGATAGACAAAATATCCAGTGAACGGCAGTTCAGAGGAGAATGATTGGACTTCAAGCTGATGGTTATGCAACCATGCTGAATACACCTTGTTATTCATCACGCTAAACCTTGAAGCAGGTGGGCTACAGCAGCAGAAGACCACATTGAGTGCCACTCCTGTCCTGATTTCTGGTACATTATTCAGATAGTAGGGTCAGAAAGCATAGTTTCATCTTTCCTTGTATCAGTGTTTAAACTCCTGGTGGTGTAATGCATGAGGCTTATTTTTTGGCACAGTTTAGACCCTTTAGTACCAACTGAGTATCATTTAAAATCCACACTGACCTGAGTATTGTCGCTGACTGTGTTGATTCCTTTTAAGACAACAAAATCTTTTGTGACAGTTTGAGACTACATTGCATCAACTAGGCACGAGGCACTCTGGTGGTCTTCAAAAACTTATAACAGGAATGGCTACTGGTCTGTGTCTGTAACCAACTATAACCCCTCCCTAATTCTGTTTGTGTTAACACTTTTACGAGACACACTTAAGCGTCTTCTTTGGCACAGACCAGGGGAAGGTTTTGTGAGGCAAACTGATAAGATGGCCAGCTTCTCCGTTATTTGACGCGTGACTTTAATGCTCTGGTGCATTCAAAGCCATTTAATCTCCGACAGAGACTTCCTGAACTCATCTTAGCGTCTGTTCGTAGAAAGCTGCAGAGGCTCCAGGTGCCTTGTTAGAGTTTAACAGCGTTAATGTGAGTAAGAGGTGAGGTGCTAAATGGTAAGTGGAAGTCACCAACACAGCAGGGACCAAGATTACCATGTTTTTACAATCTCAGTTTGCCTCATGTTGGCAAAGTACTCAGCTGTCTTACTATAAAGTGTATTTAACAAAGTAAAATTGCATTTATTCATCCATTTTTGTCCAGTTCAAGTTAGAAGGGAGACTGGGGCCTGTTCCAGCTGCCACAGGGCAACTGGGAGATCCCCCCGCCCCAAAATAAGTGTTTTTTTTTTTTTTTTAAACAAGCAGTTTTAGGTTAGATATTCTGTCTGGTGAGTCTGATTTCTGTGGAATTGTTAAAAGTGTCATCTTTAAATTTATATTAAACTTACTCAATTTCATACATAAAATGAAACTGATTGACTCTATTGGTAAAGTTGGTTAATTTTTAATCTGTTTTACAACCGAAAAGAAAAGTTTTGTGCCAGCCAAACACATTAATAACACGTTTTTGAACATCTTACCTTAGATAATACATTTAACTAGTATTTATTATAATTGAGTGAGATTACTAGGGTTGAGAAGTCAGCCCAGGATCATGACATATGAAGCCCTAAGGATGGATTTCCGTTTCTTTTAAAATTTCTTGCCAAACTAAATTGTATCCTTAATAGGAATATTTTACTGTATTTCTAAAATTCTATTTTTGGAATCATAAAAGCAACATCAGAGATGCTAAATCTGAGCTAGCATGAGTTGATCAAAAGGCCAATTATGAGTCAGTTTGAAGTACTTACTGAGCAACTGGTTCCCAGGTTTTCTATTTAAAGGTTTGTTAGGGCCTCAGGCACTTGTTGGCAGAGGAGGAACATTTGCCATCACGTGGATCCTCATCTGTTACAGGCAGGTTAAGATGGCTCTGAGCATTACATGTCATGGGACGTGTGAAAGATTTCATTTATCGAACGTACCGACAAAAGAAACACAGAATTTGCTAGAAAATGATGATGCTCATTAACTGACTGCAGTTCCAGCGTTAGTTCTGACCAGCATCCTTTTATCAGATCATTTGACCATAGTCGCTTTCACACGTGCACTTTACTTAAAAAAGAAAACAAAAAAAAAGCAAAGCATATATATAGACAGTCCTGCTTTGAGGATCTCAAGTGATTCACAGCTAGAAGAGCAAGCAGGTGTTATAATGTGAGCACGTTTGTATTAAAAGGCATCTGCTGTCACTCCACTGGACTCATTAAGGACACAAGACAAAGAACCTAGGTTCCACCATTTGTTATCTCACAATGCTCAGATTTCATCTAATAAATCTGCTTGTTAGATAGTTGTGCGGGAAAATCCCAGCAGATTAGCAGTTTCTGAAATACTTAGACCAGTCTGTCTTGTAGCAAATCTCCTTTCTTTTGCCCCTTTTGATGTTCAGTTTGAGCTTCAGCAGGTCGTCTCTATGAAGTCTCCATTCCTAAATGCACTGAGCTGCTTCCGTGCGATTAGCTGATTTGATGTTTTTGTTTACAAGCATCTGAACCTAACAAGTATATAGAGGTGGGAAATGTGACTCTAAATGATTCAAACTTGTTGTATGAGTTAGTTAGAAGCTAATTGCTAATAATGTTCATATTTTTTAAATGAAAAACATTTTTAATGGCGTCTTTTTGTAGAAAGGGTGCACAAAACAACCAAAAGAAAAAAGCCAATTACAAAACCATCGCACTGACAACCACACAATCACTGTTTCATTTCTTTGCACAGGTTCAGGGAGGCCATGCAGGCCAATGAGCCCGAAGTGCATGAAGTTTCTGGTCTGTTTCGCTCTGTCCTCATGGAGGCTCTGGATCACCTGAAGGAGGAGCAGGAGGCGGAGCGACTTGCTCGCCAGTGGAACAACAAACGTGCCATGAGCGTTTCCCTCATGAACTTTAGATCGCGGATCAAGATCAACCCGTTTGGAAGCACAGTGGGCCTGACCACTGCTGCAGCTGAAGGGGCGGGTCTAAGCGACCTCAAAACCGTGTCAGAGGACGTGGAGAGAGGGATGGACAAGGACGAGAAGATGCAGAGAGTGTGGAGCATGCCTGACTTTAGATACAAAGGAACCGGCAGCAGTAAGATTGTTTGATGCGGGAGTTCACGGGACAGAGATGGTGATGATGATGATAATGACGTTTCAGTAGGACTAATGCTTTGTAGCAGTGTCCACTTTTGCACCAGGAGAGAGGATGAGTCCATCTGTCCGCCTGGTTTTACAGTACAGTACCAATCAGCATTTGACCCTGCTTTACTCTCTTATCTGAAGTGTCTTTTTTCTAGTTTATCATATTTTAAATATTTTTCCGTACTTGAAAGAATTTTCATGAGATTATCACTACTTGAAGTGATGCCTCTTTCATTTTGCAGAGATTTGGCATCTAAGCACTGAGGGCTTTTTAATGTAGCCTAATAGGGAAATTAATCTAATTTAAACTGCTGTTTATTGGGAGGAGAAACTTGGTGCTAGGTCAGACTACACAGGCAGGGCTGGGCTATAAATTTTGTTCATACAGTTTTTGTATAGAAGGAAAACAGTCTTAAAACAAATGACTTAATCCAATGAGAAGGTGAGTCACACGTTCCCTCCTGAACTGCACAGAAGGACCCAGGAACATAATTCATCATCCAAGGTCGGTGAACTGAAAGCTCTCTTCCTGTGCTCTTTATTTGCAAGAGGATGTTGGAGGGGAGGGGTTGGGGGAAGAGGAATTAATCATCAAAGGCTGTCAGATCAAAGTAAAAGCTTTGACGCACTTTAATTGCTGTTTCTGCTCCATTTGTCACCCACCATTATTCAGCAATACATAAAAGGTTTCATCCATCATCCATAAACATCTTGACATTATCTCCATACAAGAGGAACTGACAGTGTCTGTGTTTTTATATGTCAATACAATAAAAATAACTGATTTTGAAACATTGTTCATGAGAGAATAAATGGTTATGAATAAGACTTACTATAATAATTCAACAATACAGAGTCGATTCGCATTTTTAACATAATATACATGTTAAAAACTTATTTCAACACACAATCAGACTTGCACTTTTGCAACCGCAATTCTCATCAGCTACAAGCAGAAAATGAACGTACGAAACCTTTCTAAATGTAGAAAGACTGCTATGAATGGGGAAAGTAACTAAGAGCTGAAAGAAGAACAGCAAAGTCTGTTTTCAAATCTTTAAATCAGGTTTATTAAAAAAGAAAATCAGAGGGTGTGACTTGATCAGTCCTCTTTTTGTTGCTACGTGAGACTCCGACCAGGCTGCCGGTGGCTGAGATACACTGTGGGTAATGTTGGAGCCAGCTTCACACATGGAAGACACATATAGATCTAAGCCCATATCTTTTCTGAACCAATTACTGAATGAATTCTGTATTTTGTGAAATGGTATGTTGCGACCTAATTAGGGAGTTCTTTTTTTGAAAGAGATGACAAACTGCGAGCAAATCTGAGAAGTCAGAGGCAGGTGAGCAACTTTATTTCCATCTGGTGGACCACAGATGAACTTACCCAACTGCTTAATAATAACACCACGTACATCATGAGCCTGCGGTGTGACTGCTTCTTGTTTTGCCCACAGAAATATCTCCTCCTGCACTCCGGCAACGTTGCTGCTGCCTCTCTGTGGCAACTCAATTTACAGTCATCTTTTCCTTCTCAGAAAACTCTGCTTTTATTTTTTTCCTGAGATCTGCTGAGGTGTCTGGGCCTGACAAACAGGACCGGTGTTCACAGCGGGATTACAGGGTAGAGTTCAAGAACTCCAGAAGCTCTGCTCGATTTTTGTCTCGCTGTAAGAAAACAAAGCACACATAAGACAAGTGAAAAAAACAAACAAACAATCTATAAACTACAAAAAGGCACATCTGATTGCTTACCTGTTTGTCTTTCTTTGATTTCTTTACTTTCATCTTTATCTTCTTCCCTGAAATCATGCTGTATTTGCCCTTTTTCCTGTCCTTCAAATACTGAAAGAAAAACACATTTAATTTTAAAGAATCTTATCAGTTCAACTTCTAACTAATCCCAGGAAAATGCCAGACAGGCACTATCACATTCCAATATCAATGCAAACACAGACTGTACTCAAGACAACACTTGCAATTTGAAGAAATGCACCACAGCATGCCCCAGAAACAGCTCTTTGTTCTGTGATGCTTAACACAGCACTGGGTTTATTATGCATGGAAGCTGCACATGGCGTATGAGGATGGCAGGAAGTCAGGTACAGGAAAAGAATAAAGAATGAGGTCAATTTTCAAAATAAAAGCCAAGTTAAGGATGGAATAAAAATGTCGGAAAACGCGAAGATGCACACCCGCATTAACAGTATGAAGACATATGGATCAAAACAATTAAAGAATAAAACGTTTGGGTGTTCTGACTTTAAAATGCCTGTCATATTAGCCAGGCTGGAGTCAGAACTCTTTAAAAACAAAGTTGTAAAATGAAGAATATTACCACCTATTATGGATGGCTTTGATATTAGAAGTCCTTTATGGTCTATAGGATTTTGGAGGGGACTTTATGGTGAGGCGAGCTTCATTTGGACAGGTGCTTGTGTGCTTTGTTATTCCCACCTCAAAGATGAGGAGGATGAGTAGAAATTGTTGCATGTTTTATTCTAAGAATAAAGATGAATAGACTTATTCTATAATTCATCTTTGGCCATTGTGAGAACACCTAATGATTAAAGTGCTAGTCCGTAATCTTAAAAATGAATCACTCTATTCTTCCTGTGAAAGAAATGTTTGCAAATGCATGAATATATTTACATGATATAATGCACCAATATAACACACTCGTCTAACAGAAACATGTAAAGGTTTTTGCTGAATGTTTTCCTACCTTGGAGATCTGCACAGGTCCTGAGCTGTCCTCCTCTCCTTTTGACTTCTTTTCTTTCTTACGTTTAGACCGTTTCTCTTTCTTCCCTTTCTGGAGAGAAAAGAAAAAAGCATAATTCAGTTTTCTTGGGGCTTAAAAATTCTTTGGCAATATAAGCTAACAAATGAACAGTAAATTACTTTTTTATGTTTCTCCTTTCTCCTTTTCTTGGACTGTTTTCTGGATTTACTGCGAGAGTCTAACAGGAACAGAAATAACACACTAAGCTGAATCCAAACAGATATCAGCACTGTGATGAGAAACTTCAGGAAAAAAAAGACTCTTTAGATACATTTCAGACATTTAGTGCACACTTACCACTACTGCTAGAGCTGCTGCGACTTCGGCTGGATGACCGTGAAGAACCCGAAGATGACGATGAAGATGACGATGCAGACGAAGACGATGATGATGAGCTGGAAGAGGATGATGAGGAAGATCTGCTACGGCTGCGTTTCCGCCTCCTTTTTTCTCTTCCTGAAAAAAAAGGGGCAAAACAAAAATGTAATTACACAATAAACTAACGTAAGCCATATTTACAAAATTACAAATGCAGCCATTCATCATTTCCCTTGACTGACAGTGTCTGGAAGGTAGTATAATTGGTTACTAAGGTGTAATTTTGAATATGACATACACAAACATAGTTTGTACTCTGGTTTTTACTATTTTTAAGCATTTATATAGCTCTAGGTGCAGTGAAACATAAAGGAAATGTGTCCTGTTTTATTGTTTTTCTGCTAATGTGAACTCAGTCTTTTTTATGTATTTTTGCTGCTATATCTTCACAAAAAATGAAGACTTTCAGTCAAATTTTTAATAGATTTGGAGAGATATGTTGCATCTACTATTCTACTAGTAAACATAATAGGTAAACACTAATTTAACAGTCAGTTTTCCTTCTTCTCAGCAACAATCAGTCCACTCTTTGATCCCCAGTCACCAACATGAGACACTGTTTTACACTGTCGGCTGCTATAATTTCCCTTGAGATCAATTAAGTATCTATTCATTTATTTATCTATGTCCAGCCGTAACGTCACATGTGTCTTCGGCTGTTAACTCTAATAAAAATAAATAAAATGAAAGCGCAACCGGTAAGCACTGGGGGGAAACTTGCCTGTGCTTCTGGATCTTTTCCTTTCATCCTTCCTGGAGCTGGAGGAGGTGGACACTCTACAGTCCGCTTCTGCCGACTGCAAACGCAGAGAAATCATTATTGCTTGTGTTGCGTGTGTGTATATGTGCGGGTTTTGTGTGTGACAAGAAACAGGTCACCCTTTAAAGCTCCTGGATAAGCTGGCAAAGCTACGAATAACAAAACCCCAAATAAATGGAAAAATACGGAGATATGGATATACAAAAACGTTGCACAGTGCTACGTTTACAGAGCTACAGCTAAAAAAAACCCCCGCTATAAGCTATTAAACCTGAGCTTTTGTACTCACCATAGCGACAGTTGGGTGCAGTTAAAATTATATTAATATTTTCTATCTACAAAAAATTTAAGAAGGCGTAAACTGTGAGTTTATAACCAGTTATCTCCGGTAAATTAGCACTAGTTAGCTACCTTAGGAAACATTTTGTATCCCATGATGCACCGGTACAAGCTACTTTCAAAACAAAGGCGCGAGAAGAACCGAAAGCTATCACAGCGCCCCCCAGTGGCGACAGAGATATTATTCATTGCAGAGTATTCGTACTGCTTGTGTTTGCTCGATGAAAACATACTACTATACTATTATATTTAAATAAAGAGAAGGAGTTTTGAATATAATTTAATCAATAAGTGGTCTAGAGAAAGCTTATGATAGGTTAACAAGAGAGGAACTGTGATGCTTCATTAGAAAACAGGAATGGCAGACAAGTATATTTTTATTCCTTGTCCTCCTCTCCCATATCTTGAGAGAGTGTTCCACATTTTAACAGGTCCTGTGGGAGATACATCTAAAATTCGCCTTTTTACGCAGTGTATGTGAAAAGAAGGCTTTTTATTCTAATTAGATGAATAAAATAAAATCAAGAAAATGCTATGTGCACTAAAGAAGGTTGCAAGCTACAGCTTTGCAGATTTTGATGAATATCATTGAAAATCTTTGGTCATTTTTTCTCCTGCTAGACATGTATTTCAATTTTGCACAGGAGAAAATATAATGTGAATTGACATAATATGTCTGAGTCATAATTTGTTTAAAACAGGTATGCCAAACTACCAAGACTGTTACCATAAATGAGAATAAACTTGACCTTCTTTTATCATATTATTATTATTATTATTATTATTATTATTATTATTATTATTATTATTATTATTATTATTATTATTATTATATTTCCTTAGTAAGAATGTTAAAAAAGTTGCATTCTATATTATATATTTCACAACATCCCAGCATTGTGAACGTGTCTCTCTTTGTCCCACACAAACGCTGTGTTCATCCCACACTGCATGAGGACAGCAACGCAGTGGTGAGATGTGCAGTAGGAGTAACATATGGGTTCAAGGTGGAGGTGTGATTGCATCAAAAATCGGCTCTGAATCCCTTTTTGTTTGCAGTGGTGATAGACAGGGTGACAGATGAGGTCAGGCAGGAGACGACACTGTGATCTATAGTGAGAGTACAAAGTAGTTGGAAGAAAGCCTGGAGAGGTGGACTTATGCTCTGTAGAGAAGAGCAATGAAAGTCAGAAGAAGTGAGATAGAATGCATGCGTGAATGGGAAGGTGAAGAAGAAAGGAGGAGTAAGAGCGAAGGTGGATGAATTTAAATACCTGGGGTCAACCATCCCAAGCAAGAAGAGCACGCAGACATTGTGGAGTAGGTGGAGATGAGTATTAGTAGTGATTTGCAAAAGAAGGATAGTGGCAGGAGTGAAGGGGAAGTTTCATAAAAAGTGAGACCTGCTATGATAGTTGGTTTGGAGGTGGTGGCGCTAACAAAAACACACGTAGAGGGTTTTGTGTGACAGAGGAAGGTACTATGGATAAGGTGAGATTGAAGAAGATGATCTTCTTTGGTGACCCCTAATAAA